CATCATCATCATCATTGATCACCGTATCATCATCGTACCAGGTCCATCATCATACGCATTGCATACATATATGGTATCATCACCACCTGAGACCAACATCATTATTACCATCGCCGTCATCATGATGATTTCTTTATCACGATAGGTTTAGGGTTCAGGGTTTAGGGGTTTTGGGTTTTTTTGCCTCCTACTTAGCAAGCCCGTATTGCAGGGTTTAGGGTTTAGGGTTTAGGGTTTGGGGTTGAGGGTTTCGGGGTTGAGGGTTTCGGGGTTAGGGTATAAGTTTCATAACGACAACATAACACTGTCGACATATTTGAAAGTGCCTTCGATGGGGCACCCGGTCCAGCGCTGGCCGGCTTGCAGTTACTGGGCTCCTCCGGCTCCACGTACATGTAGTCATCCACCGTAACCACTGCCACCATTCCCGACATATCGTCGCCGTTGCTTTGCAGCCAAGGCTCATGCTTGACAGCGCAACTGCCGTCGCCGTCCTCCCTCTTCATGTAGGCCTGCGGCACAGGCAGTTCCGGTAATGACCCTAATTTAAAAAATCCGAAACCCTGAACACCTAGACCTTAAACCCTGGGGCTTAAAACGCTAAAGCCCTAGACCCTAAAACTTAATAAATATGCTTTAATCCGCAAGCCAACAAAAAAGACCTGAAGCCCTAAACCCCAAGACACTGAACCTTAAAACCTCAACCTCCAAACCGGTAACACACTAAACCCTACGACGGTATTACAGTAAACCCTAAAATCATGTTGATAACGGATCTAGAGCTCTGCGAGCCAACAGCCGAGGGGGGACTGTGGGGCATAAGTTAAACAACTCTCTGGGTTACTTTGAGCCCTACATAGGCCTAGCAGTAACGGTACCGGTATTGATCCTAGGTTCATGCTTGCATGTGCATATATATGTAGCTATAGTATATGGCCGCATATATGTATAATATTTTTAAATGTTAAACATGCACATGATCCATATCTGCCTCGAACTGCGTCTTCAACATCTCATCCATCAGCTGCTCATCTTCGGCATCGGAATCAATTGCAACGGGATCGTGCTTGCGCTGAAAGCCTGGGTCCTTTTGGGGGGTGGCTATTCTGCAGAGTCGGACAGCCTCTGAGCTGACATGCTTCTTGGGTGTTCCTGCTGACAATGCGGGCTCTGGGTCCAACTGCGTGCTCTGCACCTCTACGGATGGTGCCTCAGTGCCCTGCTGATTTCCGATGGGAACAGACGGAGCCTCAACTGCTGCTGCCTCCTCATCGGTGCCCTGATTTCCGATGGGATCAACTGCTGCTGCCTCCTCATCGGTGCCCTGATTTCCCACGGGAACAGACGAAACCTCAACTGCTGCTGCCTCAGTGCCCTGATTTCCGACGGGAACAGACGGAGCCTCAACTGCCGCTTCGTCGGTGCCCTGATTTCCGATGGCAACAGACGGAGCCTCAACTGCTGCTGCCTCAGTGCCCTGATTTCCGAGGGGAACAGACGGAGCCTCAACTGCCGCTTCGTCGGTGCCCTGATTTCCGACGAGAAC